ATCATTTTTGGAGTAAAACTTGACTCCTCTGAAAATATTTTATAAAACTAACTCATCCTGATGTTAACTATCCCAGAGCTATTTATTAACCCTTAACCATGTGGAGGCACAGTGGCTGACTTTGTTTTTTTTGGTGATTCAGTTATAAATGGCATGGTTAATACTGTATCCCCAGTGCCTAGAACCGCGCCTGGCAAACAATCGAGATTCAATCAATATTGGCTGTACGAGTACAGGAGTGTTTCACATGGCCCATGATTCTGAGGACTCAAACCTGTTAGTAGATACAGATATTCTGGCTGTTTTTCATAACAGTTTCAAATAAAATGCATCTGAAAAAAAACATTTTCTCTAGCATTGACCTAGTTTGGCTTTGATTCAAATGGGATGCTTTGGGGGGAAATTTCCATGATAATGACATGGGGTTTTAGAGATTTTATGACAGAAATAATGATAATGATGAAATAATAACCATCATGACTCTGAGAACAAAGGCATTAAACACATATTAATAATTAGAAGAGGTGGTTCAAAGAAAATGACCACCTTAAAATGCATTACAGTGGACAAATTGAATTTGGTCCCGGCGAGAGCCAAGCTGTCCTACTGAAAGGATATTAAATCCTAGCATTCCACAATTAAAGGACACAGGGGGACAATTCTATGGAGAGTTGCGTTAAAACCTGCCAGGGAGGAAGGCGCCTACCCACATAGGTAAATTATCTCTTCCAGGGCAAGCCAGGAAGGGGTTCATTCACTTCGTGTCGGTGAACACACTTGTCCCATGAGGCCATTTTATTTACAGCTTCTTCCCACTGGATCAGGCTCATTTGTTTTTATATCTCAAATCTACGTGTAGTCCGTGCTCACACTGCCAGTGTTATTATAAAACACCTTTCAGTATGCCACCGCCAAAATGGAGTGCTCCCAACAAATGTTCTCTTAGGGCAATAACTCCTTAATATAAACTGCATTTAATAAAAGTGGTAGTGATTCTAAAAAGGAACGGAATAAGGCATATGCAGAGAAAATGTCTGGAAGAAATTTGCGATTAATATTTTACAAGACATTTAGATTCCACCGATTCCTTCTTGCTGTTAAAATTTAAGAGCTTTTTCAAAACCGTATTCCTCTGTTATTACATCCTTAATTAAATTAATTTATACAGTGAATGCTCTAATGATACTGCTCTAGATTTTCAATCACAATGCCTTATTGCCAGAGACAATATGTGTTAAGACCTTGAAGAAAAAGAATGACATAAGGCACAGTGCCGTCACTGGCACAGGGATATTTGGCCCTCTCATCCGATTATTGAAAAGATTGTGGTAGTTGTTCTGTGTCTCAATTAAGGTCTTCATTTTATTTTTTAATTAAGCTAAATTAGGTCAGTGAAAACAAAATGGACCTTGCAAGTTGCCTTTCCAAGGATTTCTCTCTGGGAAATACAATGGCAGACGATGACACTTCTGTTGAATGATTCCACCAGTTAGGTTGTGCCCACCTGAAACCCTAAACAAAGGACGCTATCTCGAAGGTAAACACTGCATTGTTAAAGCAGAGGAAACCAAAATCTGTCCAAGGACACAAATGGCTCAGCTGCGGAAAGAGTCAGTCTCACAATTTTGCATCAAGCCAATGGCTCATCAAGTAGCGCTGCCTGTGCAGACAGTCACAATATGCCCTTCAGGCTATAAAGGTGCAGCTCGCTAGGGAAATCAAGGTGGTGGGGGGGGATTGGGGGGGGGGGAGAGAGAGAGAGAGATCAGAATAGCTTAGTCCCCTTAGTATACAGTAGGCACCCAATAATTGTTAGTGATTTGTTAATCTAATAAAACGCCAGTCATAAATAAGGCACTGTGTACCTAGGATTTGATCTGTGGCTTACACTTCAAGCTGCCATTTCTAAAAGAACATGATCAAACCAGAGAAATGAACCCTGGACTATCATCCTTTGCTCTCTGGGTTGAGCTGTCCAATTTATTCCCTTTACTTTTAATATTCTATTTCTAGGATTCACGTTGAGCATTTCAGGAAAAGTTAAGACCCAATATCTTTCTCAGTTACAAGGTAAGCGACAGCCATGAGAAATGGGTCCTTGGTGACTGCACTGATGAGCACAGCCCTGCACCTTGACCCCATGCCCTGCACCCTCCGCTAAAGGGTCTCCATAATCCATACATGACATGAGAGGAGGGGTGCCTTTATACAGAGATCTAAAAGCAGACACAGTCAAATGTATGGCACACAGTCCTGTTAGCGTTTTTCCTCTCCTATACCAACTAAGTTCTTTGTGTCTCTCAAGGAGGAAAAATGGTTTCTAAACCTAATTTTGGTTGCATGATAAAAGTGCCATATGATACAAAATACCAACAGCAAAAGAAAATAGGGGAAAAAAACCCAATACAAAACGAGAACCCCCAACACCCAGCACTCTTTGATCTTGTTTTAAATTGAATGTTTTGGACACTTTAGAAGAAAAGGCAGCAAGTGCCTTTTTAATGGATTTTATCCGCAGGAAAATGATTACAAGCAGGAAAGCTTTAAAGTGTCAGCTGGTGATGCATTTTTTTCTTCATCCCTTTTATTTTTATTCAGAGAGATATTAAAGGCATATGGCAAAGTGCATCATTAATTTCTTATTAATTTCAAAATATGAAGGCAACTAGTAAAAATAGTAGTGGTACAACTTTAAATTACTGAACTCACTTGGTATTTAATGAGAGGCCGAGCACAGCGGGGCTTCTGTTAAATTAAGTTGTGCCTTGCATCACAGTGGGGAAACAGGTGTATATTGGTTTAGAATTATGGAAATGTTGACTAATTCCAAGGCTTGTAATCAAACAGCAAGGCATCCTGTAATATTTTTTCCCCAAGAATATGCATTAATCTTTTATGTCTGGCCCCATTTCTTCCTGTCCACCAAAAGCTCACAGCTGAAAAGAAACCACTTTCATGTTTTTCCTGTAGCTGTTAAGGGTGATATTTATCAGCTAAAGCTACACATAAATGCAAGACGTGGAACCTGTTCCTATTTACCTAATTGGAAATGGCAAGTGCAGCAGCCGTGTGCGCTCTGTGGAGGCTACGGGCCTACAGATCAGACCTGACACCTCCAAATTTTCATTTAACCCGCCTCAAGTAATTGGGCATATGAAATTGAACTGGATAAAAAGAAAATCAAAAGCAATCCACAAACGATCTTTTCCAGCCCCCAAATCATTGTCCTTAATAAGGGGTCTCCAAATTTGCTATCCATGACTTCCCTGTATGCAGAATTTTTAAGAAGAAGAGAGACATATGTGTTGTTTTTTTTTTTTAAATACAGAAGATGCTATCTGTTTGCTAATGAAAGGGTCAGGGTGAGGCGTCCCACACAGAGGCATGCTCATCAGTCACTTATATGTTTTTCAACATGACTCAGTCATCATATTAACTCTGGGTCTCTTGAAAGCATCTTCACATAGAAAGATGGCATATTGGGAGCTGTGCTTTTATTGGGGACAAATTAAAAGTAACCAAGCCTTTGCATTAGTTAAAAATAGGATCTGATTTGGCATCAATATATCCTAAATGCTAAATGACTATTCATCATTTCAAGCATCTTTTTTAAATACACATGGAAGGGATTTGGTTGTGTCATTTGATAACATGATCTAAACGCTGCAACCTCCTAGAATTTACATTGGAAAAATTCCATTTACATTGAGTATGAAGGTGAAATACTTTTTTTAAAAAAAAGTCACATAGACCTACTGAAAGCTGCCTTACTAAAATCCCCCTCATAAGTTTCAGGGAGAAGTAGTTCAGTTAAACCTGGAGGCAGAATTCTCATAGCACACACTTGCTTTGCTGAGCCCTCTCTTTGACTTGCTCACATGAGAAGGGGAAAACCGAAGTGGTGTGATTCAAGACCAAGGATCATAATTTATTACTTTTGGGTTATTAAGCTAATATTTTGATAACCTTTTGTTGAGTAGCTTGCCACTACAAATATTATAAAATTTTCAATGGATCTAAGGTGAATTAAACAAATGCTCTCTTTTCTGAGGGTAATGGGGGATAAAATGCACGTGTGCGTGTACATCTACAGAGATAGCTAAATGACACAGAGTTAGAATTATACTCTGAAATCATTAGGGACATTATGTTATCTTTCTTCTATTATTATTGAACCAGGTTTCAATAAAATCATTACCATTGCGCTGCTTACCACAGGTTCTTCGTATAACTGACACACATCATTATGGTATTAAGTTAACTTGTCACTGATTTTTGTGCGAATGGGGGAACTATCCAAACAACATACGGAAATTTATACTAGCGTGCACTATATAAAATTGCCGCAAAACTACAGAAATCATGTATTCTGATCAAGTAGCTATATAAATCAGTTCATTTCTAGTGAATTGTACTCATCATCAAATATTACTGGGAAGGAAATGGAAAAAAAGGGTAAGCTTTATATTTTCTGTTCTGTATCAACATGAAGCCACAAATTGGGCATTAAAACATTGACTTTGTTAACCACCATTGACTGTTTAGAAGCTATTAGGAGGTTTAATATTATGGCTGTACAGGGTACATTTTGTCCTTTCAAAAGAAAAATCTAAAGATGAAATTTGAAAAGGGGCCCTGGTGAGTAAAAGCTTTTCCTTTTCCATTTGCTTCTCTTGTGTGTGTTGGGCTTTTTTTCCCCCCTTTTAAAATCTTAGCCCACCCAATACTCTTTGGCAGCCGCTGTGACCCAGTGGGGTCACTCTGATTTTCTAACCAGGGGACACACTATTTGAGAGCTCTTTCCGTCAGCAATAATGCCAATGCTTCCTTATGGGGCCGGCCAGCTGGTTTGGCTGCTGCAGAGGAACCGAGGGGTCAGCACACACTCCTCAAAAGACCAAAGTCATTTTTGGCACTAAGAGCCCATAACTAGAGGCTTCAGTTGAAAGGACCATTTTCAAGCAATAAAGTGATTTTGGTACAAAAGTAAACCGACTCACCCCAGGTAAAGTTTTAATATTGTGCAGTGCATTCTGGGCCTCAAGTGCAGCTTTTCTTGTATAAAATGTTACGAAACAACAACCTACAGAGAGAAATGAAAAGGTTTTAGAAATTTCTGTGAATGCTTTGCTTAGATATAATGGAGACTGTGGCAAACAAATAATCTACTTTAAAGGATGCACAATTTAAAAATAATAAAGCACATGAGAACAGTAATAAACAACATCTCAAGCGTTTACACCGTGCCTTTCATCCTAAATCATATTGATTAGCTTTACCCATGTTGGAGATCAATTCATAACTCTGTGCACCAACTACCTGGAACACAGCTCTTCAGAAATTTCAGAAATCAGGGTGGGTGGTGGTGGGTGAGTTGTTAATGGGACTTGTGGTGTAGCAACCTCATAAAGAGAAGTGTTGAATCACAATAACAATAGCAGAAACTCACATTAACTATAATTTCCTTAAAGGGTATCTCTAGAACATTGCACTTTTAAAACAGTTTCTAAACTCACTGGTTTAGACAACTAGATTACAAGCTTCTTAAAAACTGGGATAATGCTCTATTGATTTTTATCTTTACCACAGTATATAATGCAAATTCCTGTACGTGAAATACTCAATATTTGTTTGCCAGAATTACAGACTCTATTTTAACCTGTTAGCAGTTAAGTTATAATCCAGGTGGGCACATGCCCAAACAGATATTTGCACGCTCTGTCCCACAAATTAAATATGGCTGTGGCACATCGACTGGCCATCTCTTGATTCCTTATTTCCAAGAGCCGATGGGAGTCCAGGCTGAATGCCCCTCCCAGAGAGGCTAGCATATACCCTCTTCCCAACCAGCTCCCTCCACCAAAGAAAATGGTGTTAAAACCTGAGACCGTTCCTTCTGTGTTCTGGAGGATGGCTGACCCCTTCCTAAACATGTAGCTAAAGATACTGGTTAACATATCTGGTTGAACCAAATAAAGATGCCAGTTAACAATCTGTTAATCAGCACACAGTCTTAGCACAACCAGGCTTTAAAAAAAGGTGTGGACAAAACTAACAATTTTAAGAAAAAAGATGCCACCTCTGATCAGGGCTGTCTTTTGGAAGGTGGGCTGGGAAACAAGGGGAGAGAGGCACTCACCAAGACTGTACATATTTTACCCCACTTTACTAAAGGGTCCTAAGGCATGGAGCCAGAGATGGGTGCAGCTTTGAGAGGCACTCCTATGTCAACGACAGCAGGTAGCAGGAGAGAGGTACATAGAACTTAGGCATCAACATTGGTTCTGTTTGGGGGAATGATGAAAATAAGACCAAGAGCCAAAAAAAAAAAAAAAAAAAAAAAGGGCACAGTTGGAGACTAGTGAGTTGGCACTAGCCACCTTTAGAATGCTAAGTTGGCATTCTGATTTTTGAAAACAAAAGCTCATTCAAAGGAGTAGGGGAAAATAAAGTACAATACCATTTGTATAGCATTCCTAAACGCATCAAAGGCAACTCCTCCTCATTTGGAAAGAAATTTGGAAACTTGTCATATATTTGATTTCATTGGAATCAAATATGCAAAACCTTTACTTTTTGGACAAAGTAGAGTATGATCATAGCTCCTTGGCATTTAAAAAATCCATGCACCCAAGGATAGGAAACCCTTTAAGTACATCATTGGCATGACAGAAGAAATTGAAAATTATGAGTTTCTTTAAAGAATCACAGATGGACAGGCTGGCCTCTTTTATATGAGCTTTTCGGTTTAGCCACCTGGACTTCTTTGACCAGAGTTCATTTAGCCATGTTGCCTGATGGTGTATTTTTAGAACTAGTCAAAATTAACAAGTAGTTTTAGCTTCGTTGGTATAATGTAAGCCCAAGAAAAGCAATAGGAATTGCTTTGGGTCAAGGAATAATTCAAAACAGCAATGTAAAGTCTCAGTTTCTAGTGTCTACTGTAATCGCTCTAAGAAGAAAAAATACCAACTATACTTTGTTAGGCTTGGTATAGAAAGAAATGCAGAAAAAGACACATCGATTGATTGCTTTCTGAAAGCTTCTAACAACCAGACTCTCAGTAAGTTCCCCTCTCCCTCTCCTGGGCTTACAGGGATAGATTTAAGATAAAGAAGCAACAGGGAAGCTCTCAATAATCAAAGCTTCAAAAAACAGGCAGAATCTGATACTTTCAAGTAGGTGGATTTGGGAGGTGTGATACCTAAAAAAAGATTTAGGGATGGGATAGAAGTTATATGATAGTTTGCTTGCCTGGGAAGAAGGCAGTTAAGGAAGATGAAAAACAAATGCCAGTCTGGCCATGTTCAGAGCTAAGAACGAAATGTTTAGATTGGTCTAAAAGAACTGTAAATGACAGGGGAACTGGAAATGGAGTACGAACAATGCTAAGAAAAGCAACAAGGAACAAAGATGATGTCAACTGAGGGAAGCTTGCATGTTCGGCCAACTGCAAGAGTTTTGACCAACACGCAGTGGCCTCAGGAATAAAGCAAGCTCTCCTGCCTTAAACACCCAAACAAAATGCCTGCCATTTGCCACTCACTGCCTGAAATCCACTGGGAGGGTGCAAATCATTTCCTATTTAAGCATTAACACGGTGCCCTAAGGGATGGTAACTTTTAATGGTTTCTAGCTATTTACATCGTAGTATACATTTGGCTAAAGTGTTTTTCTCTTGAACAAAGTTCTTAGTGAATGGAAGGCGGTTTCCGTGGAAGGTTTTGTTTTTGGAGAAAAGGCAAGCTGAAGCTGATGTCTGAGCGGTGTGGGATGTGGATGGAGAGGGGAGTCTAATGTGTAAAACGGGAGATGGGAAGATACCCCAAATTTCAGTCTCGTTCCAATTTCACATGGGGCCCTCTCCGCCTGTCTAAGAACTTATAAAGTGAAACTGTCATTTTTTATTATTGATCATCTCCAAACTATGCACAGGTCTTAACACTTTATGTCCATTTCAACAAAGGTTTGCTTGTTTTTTATATATTTTATTAAGATGATGCCAAGATCAGCTCCAGTTCTGGTTGTAACACATAGGAGACTATCCTGTGTAACATTAGTGACATGCTCTATTCGCCGCTCACTGAACCCCAGTCCAACAGCTCAGCTCCGTAGGTGCCGTGCTCGCAAATTTGGCACGTTTGAAAAAGGCGTCCCATTTCCAGGTGGGCAAATCCCCTCTCCGGAGCCCATGGCTCCAAGAGCAGAGCCCAGGCTGCATTTCTGCCCCTACTTGTAGCCTCAGCCGGGTACCTCATGCAATAAAGAGCTTGCAGAAATGTGGGGGTTCTGGGGAAGACAATATGATTTAGAATATCACCCAAGTCTCTTCCCTCTGGTTTCATACCTTTAAAAAATATCTAACTTCCTCTGTAACTTCCTTTAGTTTCATCACTTCAAAATCAGTGACTAAAAACCAGGTCTGCCTAAAACCCCCTTCCAAACTATATGGACATAGAGCTAAAGTGTTTCATTCAGAACAAATTTTTAAAGTCAAAATTATTCTCTACCTTTCTTGGGCTAAAAATGTCGTGCACTTCATTCAGCATGCATACTGATCCGTTTAATAAAAACAGTGCTTGATTAAGTTATCTTAAAATTTGCAGGATAAATAGAGAATTACAAATTTAAATAGTCACCTTAAACACAGCAATTTGTATTTTTTCCCCAATGGGACTTAGGTTTGTACACTTCCAGAATAAGAATGTGTTAGACTCTTGATTTCCATGAGTACTCTTTAAAAACCATCCTCTTTTTTACCCATCTATCACTTGATATGCTCACTTAAAATTTTAGATTCATTGACCCACAGAGATTATTTCAACAAAGGAAGAGAGAAATATCATTATTTGCCTTGATATGGTAATTATCATGGAAAAAGGTCAGGGAGCTACTATAGATCCCAGAAGACCCATGAAGGTTGAACAAGGATGAAATTTTCTTTCTTGCCTACCCTAACTGGATGTACAGCTGTTAAGGGAACCACCTGTCTCTGCGATTTCCCCACACCAGCTGTAACTCAGGTCTGAAATTTACTGGATGCGTTTTCAGGTCAGCTGCAGCACCAGATGGCTCAGAAATCTGATTCTGGGGACAGACCTCCCTCCTTCAGCCGTTCTGTTTCCAACAGCATCGTAAGGTGGGTGGTTAAACATCTACATTATCCACAGGTGCTCTTCAGTGGTCGGTGGCTGCAACATGCCCCGGAGGGGACAACCCCTCCAGCTTTGAGGATTCCGGGATCATTCCTGGAACCCATCTTTCCTTGTCACTATGAAGTTTTCCATGTCAAACATGGGAAGTGACCCACCAGGGGACTCTGGGGGATCAGCAGAGGCTAATGCAGTTTGATGAGTCAGGTGCTTCAGCAAGACTCAAACCTCCTTTTTCTGCTTAATGTTGCTAATTTTTGCTGCTTCACATTTTTCTGCTTTGCTCATTTGACACTAATAAGCACCTGTACTTCACAATTCTTGTCACCTTTATCCACTCATTCAGGAGTTTCTGTCAGCAGCAGCAACCAACTTACAAAAGATGAACATGACGTTCCACACCCAGCCTCCTCTATGGCACCCCAGTTTTCCACAGTTCCATTGATACAATGAACTGTATCAGTAAAAGCTCTGGATTTTGGAGCAAAAAAAATATACATCCATCTTTTGACGTGCCTATTTATCAATCCCATCCCACTGCTCCTCAGAAGAGCTTTTCAAATTCACAGTGAAACAGGTTCAGTGACAAGGTGACTCCAGAACCACACAGAGCCTCGCAGCCCACTACTGAGGACCGCTCTGTCGATCATCAAGAGATGCTGATGAGTCTGTAGAAATGTTACAGGGTAACGCATTAGAGCATGCTGACCATGAGCATCTCCCTGTGAACTCATTTTGCTGCTTGACTTGGAACACCTGGCAGAGCCCCTTGGAAGGCAAAGTAGGGCAGGCCAATTCTGAGGCGGAAGAGGTGTGGGATGGAAAGATCCTGGCGTACAGAGGGCACCCTGTGAAGGCTGGCGGTGCAAAGGCCTCAAGTGAGTATCTTGGAGTGGTCAGCAAGCAAGTGGACGCTGGGCACCAAGGGCAG